GCCTTTCCTTTGAGTTCTTCAGAAAGACCTAGCACAACTCCACCATCAGACTGCCATAGGTCAAGGCGGAGCAGGGAAGAGTCACTCAGAATGGCAGGGCCTTCCCTTCCTGGCTGTAAGTGATGACCAGACTTCGGAATCTGGACCAATTCAGGATACCTCTTCCAACCTTAGTTGGAACCTTAGTATCTTCCCCCTGTGCTGCGTGCAGAAGGAATCTGTCCAGGATGAACACACCATTAGTCTTGGGGCCATAATGTTTGGTTTCCACTTTTGTTTTTAAGAAGCTTCCTAAAAATGTGGTAGCAGGTGTATGGATACATTAGGAGGGACAAAGGTCTGAATTTCAATGATGATCAGATTGCAAGTAAGATGAAGTGCTTCTTCCTCCCCACAAGTCCTCTTTCCAACTTGGTTTTCCTTCCCCCTCAGTCAAAAACTGCAGTTGCTGAAACCACCGACGTGTGGGAAGGGGTGTAGACAGGATAAATATTCCAGGCCAAGGGAACAGCATGCTTCAAGGCCTGTAGCAGAATGAGGCACCCAGAGCAGCTGGCTGAGGTGGGAGTCCAGGGGGCTGGAGTGGGGGGAAATGAGGCTCGTTTCCCAGGAGCAGAGGATCCATCCCTGGAGGTAGCAACCAATAGTCAGGAGTTGGAGCCTTGGACAGCCTTCCTATTGCCCAGGCTACCCTACCCAGGACTTACATTCTCATTCTTTATTGTGCTTCTGACCTCTGACCTCAGAAGGATCTGCTCACTTCTGTTTAGATTTAATAAAGCCACCTTCTTTGATTGAATAAATGCTGCAAAGCACAAGAACCATCGTGACCTCTTCCATCATACATCAAGCTAACCACGTGCCTACACAGAACCGCACCTGGGGATAACAGCCTTACTGAAAAAGGAGATCAGGGAGATTCGTCAGACTCTTCTCACCACACAAGGGCTGTCAAGTGCCACCATTAAGTAAGAAACTCAAACTAGTGCTCAACAGGCAACTGAAATGTGATGTGAGCAATGGTTGGGGTGAAGCTGGAAGAGGAATTTGAGAACAGGTGTATGAAAGGGTATGAATAGTTTATAGAATCATGTGGAATGCAGACTTAAGGGGATGGACTGGCAGAGGGACCTATATGTGCCATCAAGTAAGGACCACCCCGACCAACATGGAAGGGGTACTATAGAGGCCTGTGGTCCAGGCAACAAATCACTCGCATTGAGAATCAATGAGTAAGCAGAGCAAAAGTCTTCCCAGTAGGGAAAATTGGCCTGTGACAAGGCCAGAAGCTAGGATTGGGCATAGTTGGCCCATCTGAGCCCTGAATGAAAAGGAGGAGACATGCACGGTCAGCAAAGCATGCCCATTATAGCTGAGTGTTACAAGTTTCTGGCTAAGAGCAGATGAACTCTTTTGATGAACAGGAGCTCAGCCTCTGTGTTAGAGGGACCACAGTGAGAGGCACTAGATCTTCATGGTCACCCTGGTATTGGAATGAATTACTAGGAAATGGAAACAGTCCTGCAAACATCAGCACAGACTCATGTTCCAACTCACTCTTGTATTGGTGACTTCAAGGATAATATATTTAGGCCTGTGACACACATTTGGGGGCTCTGAGTATTTAGAAACACGGAAATGGGTATATCCCAGTGGTGGCAGATATGGAACTCTCACCCACTCCACATCCTCTTACTGAAAAACTAAGAAAGCTTCTTGCCACATCCCCCTTAGTCATGCTGGCCCTCTGCTGCCCAGCACTATCACTCACACAGCTTATATCACAGGATCACATCTTGCCCTCTTGCTCTCAGACTGTTCAGCTTCACTCTATAGCTGGCAACATTCTCCCCATGAGGCTGGGATGGCTCCAGGTGTAAAACCTGCAGGTGCTTAGAAAAGCCTGCACTCATTTCTTGGTGTACTCTGGCTCCATTCCAACACCCTGGACTCTGCCTGAGCTGTCCTGTGTGAGCAGGATGAAGCCCAGTGGTACTGGCAGTTCAGCCAACCCAGGATCTTTACACAGGTCCTGAGATGCACAGATGTTGGTCCACAGTGAAATGAGCTTTTTTTTTTATTTTAAGAAAGACTAAACAATACAGAAAATGGGTAGAAATAATACATACTTTCAAAGAAAAAATAAACAGTAATAAATCACTAGTTGATGTTTGCATATTGTTCTCTTACAAATAATTGTTCAAGATACAAAAGTGGAACATATAAGTGGGAATTCAAACAGTGAGACTGCAAATAGTTCTATTCAACTATCCAACAAAAACTTAGTAATATGGTTATCAATCGTATACACTTAAACATACACTTAAACACAACTTTGTAGGTAGTGTAAAACTACAAAAACAGGTAATAATCAAGCCAGAATGGATATTGTAGTAAATCTTGTCATTTTCACTATAGTTGTCTATACTCTCAGACTTCATATTATCAATAATAAGTTTTGAATAAAACCTGCCAATAAAAAACACCAATCAAACAAATCAGATTTAACTAAGATCAGTCATGATATAACAGTATAGGTTATTCAGGACTCCAGATTAAGATAATAGGAAATTAAAGATGATTACTGTGCTATATCCTGGTATTTTTGGGATAGCTGTCTGTGCCCTCAGATCTAGTGCTTGTAGACAAACTGGGACAGAATAAGTTCTATCTAAGCAGAGCAGTGTAATATGGGTTTTAATTCCTGATACACTATTAACAATATCTTCTGCTGTCTTTTTAAAACTATTCCTCCCCTTTTACTACCCCAGGGCATACTGTGCATTTTTGGGTCTCACCAATACCCTGAGTTTTAAATTGGGGGGGGGGGCAACCTGCTATTTATCTAAGTGGTTCCAAACCTTTTCCCTCCTGGACTTGATCTCTAGTTGTATTCCTTTACCTATTAAAGCCTGTCTTTCCCACCTATCCACAAATACTGGTCTAGTTGCCTCTATCATTCTCTGGTTCCCTGTCACATAGAGCATTGTTTTATCATATTTGATTTTTGATCCAAATACCCTTTTTCAGGTTAGCTATATTTCCTATAAAGAGCATCTTGGTGGACCCTACCTCCTGATCTACTCTGCCTGTGATTTTTTTTATTTAGTGTATCAAGGCCATCTGTATTAGAGATTATAGCCAACCTTTTCTGCCTCATTTCTGTTGTGTTCTTTTCCATCATTAGTTGTCTGTTAGCCTTCTTCATTTTGCTTTCTGCTCCATTCATTGAGGCCTCTCTGCCACTGTTCCTGCAATCCAGGTACTTTTCTCTCTCTTTAGAATGTCCTGCAGATTCTCTGTAGAGTTGGATTGGTGGTCACGAATTCCCCCAGTTCCTCTTTGTCTTGGAAGTATCCTGTTTCTCCATTAATTTCTAGAGACAGTTTTCCAGGGCACATCAATCTGGGCTGGAGGTTATTTTTCTTTCAGGCTTGGAATACTTCACTCCAAGCTCTCCTTGATTTGATGGTTTGTGTGGAGAAGACTGCTGTAATTTTGATGGGCTTTCCCTTATAAGTAATCTGTTTCTTGTCTTTGACAGCTTTTAACATTCTGCTCTTATACTGAATTTCTGGGATCTTATTATATGTCTGGGTGTAGCTCTGTTTTGGTTGTAGGTGACTGGAGTTCTGTATGCCTCATATATCTGAATATCATTTCCTTTTCCTATGTTTGGGAAGTTTTCCTTAATTATTTGTGACTAGCCTTTGTAGTTCCTTTGCTTGTACCCCTGCTTCTTCATTTACATTGTTTGTTCTTAAGTTATAGATCCTCTTGTCATCTTCTTGGCTTTGTTACTGCTTGTTTCCTTGTTATTTTTAAGAAATTTTTCCTTTTGTGATGCCACATTGCAAACCTGTCCTCTAGTTTGGATAAACTATCCTTAGTTTCTTTCAAGCAGTTCTGCCAGCTTTCAGTGGAGTTTTTAATTTCCTGGTAATCTCTGAACCTGCTTCATGTATTCTATGATTTCTTTATATTCTTCATCAAATGATTCTCCCCTTTCTTGCATTCCTCCATTCTTCCATCTGTGTCTTGAAAGGTGCTTAGCATTTATTAATCTATATCTTGCTTTACCTGGTTAAATATTTCACTTTTGAACTTGTCTATGAGGTCTCAAATATATCTATGTCCACTGGTGCCGTGTCTGATATTGCATGTTTGCTGTCCTCAATCTCCTTTGTGTTTATCTTTCCTGGATCAATGTTCTCAGGGTTGGGGGCTGGGGACTTTTTCTTGTTGTCTCCTCTTCTAATATTTTTTGTCTTCCATATAGGCATGCTTAGAAGTTGTTTACACTTCTTCTGAAGTGTGCTGGCTAAGTGATCCTGCGCACTGCAGTGTGTGATTGAGGTGCAAACAGGGGCAGCTTGTGCTGGCTCCTACCCTCCAGGTCAGTCAACCTGCTGAGGCCTTCACTGCATTTGTATACTGCTGGGGCATAGGGAATTGGTTTGGGATAACTTATTGGGTCTTAGCCAGGAGCGTGACCCAGGCCAAGCACACCCCATCAATCCCGTTTGGGAAGGGAGCAACTAACCAAAATCACTGCTACTCCTTGTTCTTTCAAGTCCTGCCTGTTCCCAGAATGTCATCTGTTGGACCCCTTTTTCTGTGGAATGGTTTTATTCCTGTTACTCACCACAGGTCAATGCAGATTCCCCGCCAGCTCAGCTCTCCGTTTGGCTTGCCGACCCCTGACCTCAGCAAGACTGTGTTTCCAGTGAGCCAAAGTGGCAGGATTTTGGGTGGCTCAGTAAATTGCAGCTGCTCAAATTTGGGCACTGCAGTGGGAGCACCGAGCCATTAGCTGTTCCAATAGTAGCACCGGGACTGTATGTTTCTTCTCAACTTAAGTTTCTTCCTGGGTCAAGAGGATTCATTTCCCTCTGTTCGGGACTCCCCATGCTGTATTATTTTGTAATCTAAATTCGCTATCTCAGGGAGCCTCTGTAGCCTGCTGTTACCTATCTGCCACCTTTACCAGAAACCCAAAATGAGCTGTTCACAGATTTTTTTAATGCAATGTTAGTGTGCTGTGACACAAAGGAAACACAGACAACCCAGAAATACACAATTCAGCAGAGCAATCCATTCCACTTTCAAATAGGTTAGACTAAGATGTTAACATCACCATGGAGATTCTGTTTATCTGCCTAAATGCAGGATTTGCTTCCATGAAATCCTAACTGACCATCCAGCCTGATGTTGAAACTTCCAGGTTGGTCTTCAAGACTAACCTTGAACTTGTGGCAATCCTCCCTCTGCCTAGTACAGAGATTACAGATGTGTACCACCATGCCCAGCTGTTGGGAGGTGGTATGTTAAATGCAATGTAGGCACAGCCAAAAGTCTTGCAATAGTATTGAGGAAAAACTGACCCGTCTCCTGGAAGCCCATGTGTAGGTAAAGCTTGAGGGCACTCTGCTGCACTAGGCTGGTATGAAGCACAACTTCACCATAGCCCTGGTCTCTGGCAAACTGGAGGACAGTCCTGACCAGGGCTTTTGCTATCCCCTCTCCTCGGTGCTCCATGCTCACTGAAAGATGAAACAGCTCCAACTGCTTCTTCCCTGGTGGCGGATTCTCCACTGGCAGAGTGCACACAATGCCCACCACCTGCCCCCCAGACTCGGCAACCCAGAAGCAAGAGTCACAGGCACTCAAGTAGGTCTTGGTGATGTCAGCCATGTCAGTGCGCAGACACGTGACCACATACTGCTTCCAGCAGTACCCAACAAAGAGCCATAGGAAAACAAGGAGAGTGAAGCTTGACACACAAGCCAGCAGCCAGGAACCAGAGACCAGGAGAATGCAGAGTGGCACCCCAATTAGGAACACGAGTGTTTGGGGCAGCCTCAGTAGGTGGCGGAAGTTGGTTGGGATGTGCTCCACCATGCCCTTGTAGAACAAGTCCACGACTGGTTTTCGGTCACGCTCCTGGTATTTGCGGATGTGAGGAGGAGCCATGGAACACTTCAGTGTCTACAATATCAGTGTCCACACGTGACAGCTATACTGATGGCTCAGCTTTTCAATAGCCTGGAAGAGGGGAAAAAGCCATGTGAGTCCCCTCATGAACCATGACTCCCCGTACTAGAATAAGGGAGACCATGTCCATGGCTATATTTTTCTCTCATCATTGATGGAGAAGTAAAAAACCACCACTGTAAGCAGGTAAGCATCAGAAAAACCTGATTAAAATACCAGTTCCTTCCCTTTCTAGCTGTGCAACCTTGAACATGTAACTTAATATCTCTGAGCCTGTGTAGCTTCATCTGAAAAATATAGTAATATATTATTGTTTTGAGAATTTAACAGAACATATATGAAACACTGGCACCTGTAGTATCTTCCTCTCCATGCTCATTACCCTATCACAGTCTCTTTGAGGTTCTTGAGGCATTAGGATAGTTCCTGTAGAGCCAGGCATCATGTCTTCAGGCCCGTTTCATCCCCAGATTCCATTTATCACAGAAATCCTGTCCCCAAGCAAAAGATCAACAAACCCTCCTGTGACAGTAAGGGCATATGCTGCTGAGAAGGCACAAAGGGCAAAACTCAAAATGGCCTGGTCTTCAGATGCTCAATGTTCAGGAACTCCTGGTTCATACTGAAAACCTTGATCTTACACCCCTGTTCACTTACCTGCTCTACCACAGTGCTCACAGTATAGACAGTGGTCCAAGCCCTCAGCCTCCAACTGGCATTCAGAAGACACTCTCTAGGGTCTACCCCAGCTCTAGGAAGCAAACCTGGGTGCCACCTCACTGGCTTTTGTGGTTACATGGTAACCATGAATCCCAAGGTCAATGAGCTGGATTGTGACTAAGCATGGAGTACAAGTCCACTCACGGTTGTGATCCTTGCAGAAGTAACCTGGAGGGAAAAGCAGTCTAGCTGGGTCCACAGGTGGTCATTCACATGGGGGGATTGTCAGCTTCCTCCTGATTTCTTTAGGACACAGCACCTCCAGCTCAGCACACTAAGCCCTCTCTGTGATCCACTCTGGTCCCTTGTACAGCTGTGCTAGAAGCCTTGGGACTGTGCTTGTCACCCTGAGCTTGTTCAACAAGGGGCAGAATCTAGATTCTTTCCTCAGAAAGAATGTCTGTCATGTGTGTCCTTCTCCCTACCAGAATTTTACCTTGTCCAAAGTCAATGGATGGGAGTGGACGGTGCTTCACATTCACCAGCCCCGCCCCTACACTCACAAGCAGCTGTGTAGATATCATCCACTGTTCTGCAGGTGTTCTCTGCAGGAACCAGGACATTAGGCATTTTGAGCTCTGGCGGTGGCTCAGAACCAGTGCCATGCTTTTCATATAATGAAGCTGAGCACGTGCCTATGACTGACAAAGCTAAGCAAAAGTGTTTTCTTTATGGAAGGCATGCTTGCTGTCTAAAAAATGATCTCACATCTGCCTATGTAACCTGTAACACTTAGGGTTCACTAGAGGAACAGACTTAATATAAGTATGCAGGGTGTGTTTGTGCATGTAATGAAGGATTTACATGTTAGGCTTACAATGGCTGCCTAAAAAACAGCTATCCGTGGGCTGAAGAGTAGAGGAGCCAGTCAAATGTGGAAGGCCTTCAGATTCCCCTGTGAGTCTGAATCTGGGTGTTGAAAAGTCTACACTGGAAGGCAGAACTCTGTGCTGGAAGCCTGGAAATGGACATTCAAAGGTAATGAAGAAGACTGGAGCTCTTCCAAAGAAGCAAAAAGTACACTTTTTAGTAGTACATTAGTTTCCTTTTTTATTCCTTCCAGGCTGCAAACCTATTGGTTAGTGCCACTGGCAATTCCATGGAGACAGAGTTACCTTTTGTTGTGCCACTTGGTCTGCAAATAAAGAGTAGACCACAGAGGAAGAATGGTAGCAGATTCCCCCAGAAATGAGTATAGCATCTGAGCTGGTGATGGACCCCCAGATGCAGTTGTGAAGTTTGCATACAAGAGCACCTGGCCAAAAAAGTTTAGTGTGAACTAAATTGAGCCTACAAAAGTTCTCAAAAGCTCAGCCTACCCAAGAAAAAACCATTTATTTCTAATTTTCTCCCAGGCATTGTTTCTCCAGTACCCTACATTAATGGTGTATATGACATAAGGAAGAATCTAGGTCAGTGTTCACAACAGGGTCAACAGAGACCCAAGAGTCAAAGTCATACACTGAGCAAGAGGAAGGCAACTGAGGTGGTGTGACCTAGAATATCTTGAAATGTATTTGGAGGCAGAAAATGGAAGGGTTAGAATGACTGAGGGGAGATAAACAAGAGAGAGTCTGAAGATCCTTGAGAGCTTCTAGGAGGACAGATGGAAGAGGCCAGAAATGGAAAGGTCAGGAGTTATCTGTAGATGCTGTATCCAGCAACCTCATCTGGAAGCAGATGTTAGAACCTGGTAGATGGGAAAAGATGCTGAGCTTTTACATCTCTGGCATGGAATCACAGCTTAATCAAATCCAGGTAGTGAATATACTGGTAACATTGTTTTCAGTTCATTTTAATACTGTCTATATTCTTGAATATGCAGCTGGAAGTTGAACTAGGAATCTAAAGAAGAGGGCAGAGGGCTCTACATACAGAGTGTTCCTAGTGAGTCTGCATAATATTAACCAGTTGGAAACTCAAGCCATGCTGAAAGGCAAGAGGCTCTCCATGTCCTCTGTTTCCCTGTTTATTCAGTGGTTCTAGGGGTGGGAGGTGGCTAAACCTCTAGTTACATTCAGGTTTTTCATCTATCCTGGGCTTTACTACTGCATCTGTATTTCTGAGAGTCTAAGAATTGGTTTTTGAGTTAGAATTAGTTTCAGCATGTAGGGCTGAGTCTTTGTAAGGTACTTGCTTGGCATAAAAGGAAGCAGACTTTGGAGGCATGGTCAGCACTGTCAGAGGACAACCCTGTGTGGTTCCAGAATATAACACTCAAAAGAGGAAGAAATCTACTCTTGGAGTCCAAATAGATGAGTATCCAACTACTGAAGGAGAACCACTGGGAGACTTAGGATACGGCTACCCTGGTAGAGAGAAAAACAGCAGACTCAGAAGCTGAAGGAAAACTCCTGTGACTACCACTCAGAACAAGGTTTTCCCTCAGGGTAAGGTACTGGACACAGGTGCTGGTAGATAGCAAAAGGTGTCAACCCAACTCTGTATTAATAGATGTGCAAAGATATACTAAGATCTGGAGTGCTAATGTTCTGATCCCCCAACTCCATGCCTCTGATTGAGCTTATTATAGGACAGGCAATAGGAAGAGGTAGACTGTAGAAGAGACTGTCAGATCCTGACTGAAACACAAGGTAATACATCACAGGCCCACTTTCTCAGCAGAAGAGACATGGTACATTACATGAATAGCCACTGGCCTTGAGATCTTGGAGATGGAGGAATGGCCCATCTTCTGGAAGGCCATGCACAAGTAAATGGCTCTTCCGCACCATGCTTGTATCAAGCACATTAGCCCCAGTGCTTGGCAAACTCGAGGTCAGCCCTGACCAGGTCTTTACTATCTTCACTCCTCAATGACTCATGGCCACCAAGAGGTAAAAGAGCTGTAAGTGCTTCTTCGGCAGAGGAAGATTCTCCATTGGCATAGTACATACAGTACTTACCAACTGCTCCTTAGTTTCACCCACTTACAAGCAGAAGCCACATGTACACAGGAAGGAGTTGGAGATATTAACCAGGTTACTGTACAAACATGTAATAACATACTGCGTCCAAGGACATCTGACAAGCGGCCACAGGAAAACAAGGAGGATGATGCTGAACACAAGAACCAGAAGTCAGGATAAAAAGAAGGGGACCCCAAGTACAAGGAGGAGGGTTCTGGGAAGCATGACTGTGTAGCACAGAGGGTCAGGAGTGTGTTCCACCACGTCTCTGGAGAACAAGTCCAGGACAGTTTGGGGGCCACCCTCTTGGTATTTGTTGATACGATTAGGAGCTATGGGGATACTTCAGTATCTGAAATCTCAATTCCCTGGAAAAAAGACGGGAAACCATGTAAGTGTCCACATAGCTCCTAGTTTTCCAGCAACCATGAAGATCCTGCTTGGTGTGTGCATTTTTCTGTTGTCATTCAAGACAAAGCAGGCCACCATGACTAGGTCAAAAACACCTCACTGAAACTCTTGTTTCTTGGTTTTCTAGTAGGTAAAGGTGGGCAAGTCACTTAACCTCTCTGAATGCTTGCCTTCATCTGAAGAGCAAGGAAAATAACACTTGTATTCTATTATTGTGCAAGGAAGAACAGAATAAATTATATGAAACACTGGTATACAGTGTCCCTGCCGTTCACCTTCATTGCCCTATTACATGCTCTCAGAGCATCTTGACATGTTGTTGGAAAGGCACCTGTGGCACCCACACCTCAGGGTCCCAGCTCTTTGGTCCCTCCCAACATTCTTGCATTGTAGAAATTCTATGTTCCCACCCAGAAGTTTCAGTAAATGCTTCCTCACCTCCAAACTGTATAGATTTAGACTGCTGAGGAGAAAATCCAGAAGGCTGGGAACTCCAGGCCTCTACTTAAGACTCTGGAAGCTACACCAATGTCCACTGACCTGTTACCAGAGCCAAGAGTGTTGAGGACAATTTCAGCTCTCAGCCTCCAAGTCTCTCCAACATGACTAGGCTTTGTCACAACTCTAGTGAAATGATCCGAGTATCCCCTCACTGCCTGGCTCCTGAAAATTTAATAAAACTCCAGGGTTATGGAGCTAGAATGTGACAGAGCAGAGAACCTAGGTTAGGTTTATTCACCTTTGTGAATCCTGGTGAATTAACCTGCAGGATCTCAAAAAGTGTGCTGGGTTCCTACTCTCAGGAGATGCCTGCCACTGCTTTTCCTGTTCTCTCAGGTCACAGCATCTCCCATCAGACATTCAGCTCTCTCTGTAACTTCCCAAATCCCTGCACTCATGTTCTAGGAGCTTGGAGACTCTATCACTCACCCTAGGTGT